GTCAAAGAGTTCATGAGAAACCCGTAACACCTAAATCGTTTTGAAAAGAAAGAAAATAAGTTGACTGTTGGTCAACCGTCTAAAGAACCGAATTTAAAGTTGAATTGATTTTTATCAAAAGGATAATCATATGCACGATCTAATCATTGAATTATTATGTTTATTCTTGTGCTACAATGGAGTGCCACTCAGCGTCAATGCTGAGCGGATAGCGTTGTTTTCCTTTTTGCTGTCCGTAGGTGATCAGACAGATGAACCTAGAGCCGATCCCAGAGGGCATTGAGGAGGAGATGTACGATGGCGTGGCTGTCTCTTTAATCTGTTGATTATGCTTTATTTAATTAACTTTAATGCTTATTACGTTTTCGGGCAAGATCCCAAGTTGTTTGACTTTAAAAAGGCTTCCGCATTATTTTAAATTACTCCGATGGATTTTTATATGTATTGAAAGAACGTTTGTTTAAAATTGTTTTGAAAATGTTGTATATTCGGATACCAACCCAGTGGCACACCGGTCCGCTATCTCACGGGTTTGGGGTACGCGGGTTGGGGTGTTACATTTTGGTATCGGAGCATTTGGTTTTAAAATCGGTCTTTGGACCCTTTCAAAATAAAATACAATGAATAATTCAGCCGCATCTGCATCTCATGTAACTCCTCTGCCCCGGGAAGGTAATAAGTATTTATAGCTTTATCTGTTATATGTTAAGATCTGACTTGGGAATTTCCTTATTATTTTAGAATGAGTCAAGAATCGACCCACGGTCAGTACGTTCCGGAGCCGGAGCACGTGAGCGTGCACACGGTGAACACCGATGGTTCGAGTTTCACGCCTCCGGGTGACGGAGGGCAACAGCAGAATCAACCTGAGCCAGCGGGACAGCCACCAGCTGTACCACCGCCAGTCGTACCACCTCCAGTGATGCCACCGTTGGTGATGCCGCAGGTGGCCTACGAGCAGATGTTCCCGGCCATAATGGCCCATTATATGCAGCACATGGCGCAGCTTTTGCCCATGTTCCAGCCAAGATGGGGGAGCCCCAGATTGCATTGGATTGGCTTGAGCAGATGGACCGGGTACTCAAGAATTTGAGAGTCCCAGATGCTGATCGCTCGGAGTTGGCGTCACAGATGTTCCGGAAGGGAGCATATGATTGGTGGAAGCGCATTGACCAGGATCCACACACGCCCAAGCCTTGGACCTGGGATCGCTTTGATCGAGCCTTCACGAAGGAGTACGTACCCACCCGGTACCGCGAGGAGAGGCGCGATGAGTTCGTTGCGCTTAAGCAGGAGGGGATGTCACTGCCTGAACTGAGACAGAAGTTCGACTACCTGTCCCAGTATGCGACGAGTCTGGTCTCCACTCCGGAGGATCGTTTGAATGAGTTCGTCAAGAAGCTATGGCCGGACTTGAGGCCGTACACCGCGCTGATCACGACGATAGATTTTAATGCGGCGTATGATTTGATTGTGAAGACGGAAAAGAGCTTGGACGATCTGCAGGCAACTAAGAAGGAGGATCGAGCGAAGAAAGACCCGCGACCCGCGGCCAGCACCGGGCCGAGCGGGAAGAGTTTTGGATTCGGGGGAAAGAGGTACGAGAAGGGTTCTTCGAGTGCGCCGCCGCCTAAGAGGAGTAAGTCGAAGCCGTCTCCGTTGGCCGCCGCTAGCAACTCGATCAGAACGAGGAGCCACCCGCAGTGTGTACAGTGTGGTAGGCATCACCCGGGCGAGTGTTGGCTCGCCCAAGGCTTATGTTTGGGTTGTGGCCAGCCAGGGCATTTCAGGAGGCATTGCCCGACAAACCCTAGCAGCGAGCCTGTTTTTCCTAGAGCTCCGGATCAGCCTGCCACATC